CAGTCCTGAAAGTGAAATGGGTTCGGTCTCCGAAGTTGCTCCTAAGAGAAAGCGCGGTTATCTGCATAATTACTTGAAGGCACTATTAATCAGTCATTGTAAATATCTGTATTTTCTACTCAGAAGCCTTTTTACATTCAAGGTGAAACAAATGTGATGGAGTTGTGATAGACAACGAAACACACTATTCCAAGCTTAAATTAGTGTGGATTCGACAATCTACAAGTGTGCTTCACCGAACATAGGTGCAAGATGTACAGTCAAGTTCAAAGTCACTGAATGTGCAGATGCAATACGAGTCTCTAACGTACTTGGTGGTTTCATCTTTTTCAACTGTGCGTGTTGACATGTTCGCATAAAATAGATATGCATAATCCAGGACAGCAAACCAAGGGTGGGAAAGAGAAGATGCGAAAAATTAAATAATTATTTCTGATTTTACAGCCCTTGTACATAGAAACGGTGAACACACACACTGAATTTTAAATTAAGCACAGCAGCAGGTCGTCAGTGGCGTGCACAATCGTCGCGTGTGTACTTCACTGAATAACGGCTGCGTCCCTAATACCGGTCACACGACAAATGCGCTGGATCAACACACGGGCTAGATCGGGGTCTGTCTGGCATTAATTGGAAAGGGGCACTCAGCAAATTTCAACATTATGTCGACTTCAGCTTGCCAGGTAAACCGCATTTCTAACAAAAATTCCAGTTTCCAAAGTCATAGAATCGCCAAAGTCAGTTTTTAGAACAAAGGATGAGGTTAGTATTTAAAAAAACAGCTAGATCGTGAACAGTCATATTTTAAATATATTTACTCGGGTAATCGTCAAACGAATAACGAAAAGCTGAAGTGAATGCGGACGTTATGATTCTATACATCCGCATGATAGCACGGGAATTGTAGCTTATAGTAATTTCACCCTGTGTGCGTCCACAACTTCAGTCTGTTGCTGTCCTTGGTCGAAAAGGTATCGCGAAAGTCAAGTGAACATTTTCGCTCCAGCAATCGAGTGATTCTCATCACATCAAAATGAGACTGTTAGGAATGCTTTACTTCTGAAAAATAAGTGGGTTCAGTCTCCGAAGTTGCTCCCAAGCCTATCTGGTGGGATGCGAACCCACGACAGCAAAGAGAGGGCTTAGTGCACCCAACGCTCTAGCCACCTGAGATAGGATTCCCCACAGGACGACGCGAGTTGAATCACATCTAAATCAAGTTTACCCGTCCGATCTACTGCAACATCTGGAATCCACCAAATCTGGTAAAGTAAGTTGACTGCCCAGGCAGGATTTCCTAAGTAATACCTCTAGAATCCACCAGATGTCTACAGGTCTAACGTAATTCATAGGTGTTATGGCAGATATGATTAATGTAGCGTCGTCCGGTGGAGCCTCTTAGCACAGGTTACTAGAGCGTTGGCTGTACTAAGGCTAACTCTTGCTGTAGTGGGTTCATACCCCACCGAGGCGCCGAGTATTTCAGATGCGTATCAAAATGACACGTCTGTGTACTTGAGTTTCATACGGCTATATCGACAATAGTCGGCCAAGCTGCAATAGGCTCGTCTTGCCAGTCAAAATAAGGAGATATGGATTACTTGACATACTTAAACCCTTGCTGCCAGAGGGTTACAGTCCCAACGTGGCACCGAGGTTTGACAATTCAATCAACGTGGATGCGTGAGACTTTAGGAAATATATTCTGTAAACTGAAGGGGCTTTCGGTTCTGAGGGATAGGCAATTTAAGAATATGCAGTGGTTATACCTTCAGGCGTGGTATAACACTGACGAGTTAGATAAATTCCCCGAGAGCTGGTTGCAAAACTGCAGATATGTATTTCCTCTTACGAATTATGCACTCATCGCATTAGAGCTCCTGTCCTCATTATTCACAAACCAAGTGACAGACGCGAGCAGATCACGCCACTCTGGGTGCACCGATTTGTACTGAAATCTACTGATCCGATGCGGAGGGAGGGAGGGAGCTGGCTGGGTGGTGTTTCGTATGTGCAGATTTCATGCGTGCTGGTGTTGTGTGTTATCAGGGTGGGGCATCGATTCCCGTGAAAGAAGAGGATGACGCACACTCTACTCGATCTTCTTTTCAGTCTTACATCGACTGCCGCCCTGAACTACATTAGCCCTTCGTCTAAGCTCAACGTAGCCACAGGTGATCCAGATGGTGGTGTGGAATCGCTGTCTTTCAACTGCTGTTTGTTACATTAAGTCTGCTGTAGAGCGTGCTGTCGATCAGAGTTAGGCAAACACCGGGTGAAATTGCACTGTTTGAAACTGCATAACCTTCCATGAAGTACGGGCTTATGGTTTGATCTTGGGCAGGATAAACGACGGTGGCGTAAGTGACAGACTGAGAGCGAGATAGATTAAGTCAGATGATGCGTCGTCTCCACGGTGGCATGAAGGCTCGAGTCCCAGACAATGGGACCTGGCAGGATATGTCAAGGTAAACGATCCCCCAGGTCAGCTGAATATTGCCCTGTTGACTTTGCCCACTCACTATCTCTATTTCAGCAACGAGCTAGCTCAACGCCTAGACAACTAACCAATCGCCAATGCAGCCGCCGCCGCCGCTGACGAGAACGCCTCCGTAGAGAACTGCTGGGACACAATCCAGTCGCAGACGCTGGCCGTCCTCGGTCGCGCACCCCGTCACACACAACCTGCTCTCAGAGAATGAACGCCTGCAAAGAGCCTACATCGACCACCCCACCGACGAAGACGACAACAAAGCAGCATTCTACCGTTGCCGCCGCCTTGTGCAACAGCGGCTGCGCGAGATGCAGAACGCACGGACGGCCGCAAGGCTAAGGAGATCCAAGGGTACGCGGACCACAACGAATGGAAGAAGATCTTTTCCATCAAATCCTTCTACTGTCCGCCCGCCAAAGGTTCTGCACCTCTGCTCAGCGCCAACGGAAGTATCCCGCTCACCGAGAAGACACAAATTCTATAGCGATGGGCCGAACAAATCAGAGGTGTCCTCAAGAATCCCTCGACCATCTTCGATGCCGCCATCGCCCGCCTGCCCCAAGTGAGGACCAACACCAAACTCGACCTCCCACCCTCTCTCCACGAGACTATCGGGACCGTGCAGCGGCTCTCCAGCAGAAGTCGCCCGCATCGGACGCGAGCTGTGCGGAGGTCTACAAGCATGATGGTCCCCAATTCATAGAGCACCCGGCGGCACTGTTCCAGGAGATGTGGCTTCAGGGAGGAGTCCCGCAGGATTTCAGGGACGCCACCATCATCCACCTATACGAACGGATAGGAAACCGCCAGCTTTGCGAATACAACCGAGGCATCACCTTGCTGAACATTGCCTGTAAGATATTCGCTCATATTCTTATCAACCACTTGAACAATCCCTTGGATTAAGGCCTTCTGGCGAATAGTCAGTGGGAATTTTGCCGTTATCGTGGCACCATGGACGGGATATTCGCCACCCACTAGCTGCAGGAGAAGCGTCAGGAGATGCGGACCCACCTGCACTTTACTTTCGTGGATCTGACGAATGCCTTCGACAGAGTGAATTGTGACGAAATTTGGAAAGTCATGCGGTGATTTGGCCGTCCTGGACGATTCAGTCAGAGGGTGCGTCAGCTCCATGATGGCACGCATTACGGACAATGGAGCTGTCTCGGAGGAATTCGCATTGACCAACGGCATAAAACACGGCTGCGTCCTCGCGCATACCCCCTTCAGTCTTATGTTCCCTGCATGCTGATGGACGCTTGACGCGACGAACGCCCCGGGATCCGCCTCGTCTAAGGGACGGCTGGCCACCTCCTCAACCACAGACAGATGCACTTCCGGTCGCATGTATCCACAGTCACCATCCATGAACTTCTGTTCGTCTATATGCACCTCGGGATCCGCATCGCCATACGGAACTGTGAGCGACCTGTCTAACCACTGGACGATGCAAATTTGATCGCGTTCTTCCACAACCACCGTCCACTAGGAGAGTCAGACTGAAACAACTCCCTCTCAGCGTGTTCACGACATCCTCACGCATGTCAGATGTACGCTGCTCAACCCGAGTTGTGTGTTATCATGGTGCTTGTGTTTGAGGAGCTAGGTCGTGCATGTGGTGCGCATATACACGTTTACTAGACCCTGTTAGCCACCGCGTCCATTCCCCGCTCCATTCAACTGACCGGTTCGGACATTGGCTGCGGCCTGAGAATGTGAAGGGAGAGTGAGATCGACGACTCAGCGCATTTTCCTCACTAAAAAGTGTCTATCACGGTGCACTAAAAGACGTGGCTTGGAAGGTTGCAAACTGACGGAATAACATGGACCTCGCAGTCGACCTAATATGTTTGTGTATGGAGTGGCTGGCTGGTTCCAATGACTCCTTCTTAACGTGGCCTCTATGGCACTCCCAATGCGTGGGATCGAGCCGGGTGTGGCGGCACGCCTAGGTGCCTTTTCGGCCGCGCCAGCCTCAATTCTTAGTTCTTGTTGATGTTGATGTTATTCAAACACCCGTTTGTTCCCTGTTTGGACTAGGGGCTGGGGAGTGGAACGCCAAGGTGCGTGCTCGACCGTACCATCTGCCTGCGCCCTCCCCAGGTGGGGGAGGAGAAGAGTGTGGTAGATACAGCGCAAGTCTTCCATCACTTTAAACAAAAGCACGCGCAAGTCACTCTCCCTGATCTCACCCTGCTGTGGAGGGTACGGAGGACGTCGTCGGATGCGACGGTCGAAATGTTGTGGCGTTGCCGTAGTCAGGCCCAGGCCAACATTGGTCTTTTTTCTACTGAACAATAGTGAGGGGATTAAAGTGGAGTTTGGCAGCCGTCTGGGACATATGCGCAGCCGTAGTTAGTGAAATCACTGCTCAGCCCCGCAAAGGGAGAGGGGTTAGAATTGTTGTTCTAAACGAATGCTGGAGACCCACACCGTCTGTAGGTTGATTATTTCTACAGACGCGAAACTCACTGTCAAATAAATCAAAATCGAAACAGCACTCATGCCCTTCCTCCCCCCCTTTTACTCCTCCTCCCCCGCGAACTCTTCGTCCTACTTCAACCCCTCCTCCTCCTGCTACGCCTCCTCCACATTCGCGCCGCCCCACTCGTTGTCCCCAGACTGGCAGGGTGAGTCCGCTCACTCTGGCAGCCTAGAATGTTCGTTCCCTTCTAGACAATCCGGGGGGTCATCCGACCGGAACGGAGGACGGCGCTTATGGCACGAGAACTGGCGCACTACAAGGTGACATCGCCGCACTCAACGAGACTCGATTCTCAGAAGAAGGCCAACTGGAGGAGATGGGTGCCGGCTTCACCTTCTTCTGGAGATGTCGCCCTAGGACAAGCGACGAGACGCGGGTGTCACCTTCGCCTTCCGGAACGACATCGTGGGACGACTGCCCTGTTTGCCGCGGGGCATAATTGATCGCCTGACGAGCCTCCGCTTTCCTCTCAGGGGTGGAGAAATTACCACCCTTGTCAGTATCCGCGATCCGCCGATGAACAGTCCCGCCGAGACGAGAAACAAATTCTACGCGGAACTGCACGCACTCCTGGCGTCTGAGCCGATTACTTGGCGACTTGTCCTTCGTGATTTTATCGCCGACATCGGCGCAGACCATGCTGCCTGGAGATGAATTCTGGGTCCCCACCGTCAAGGCCACTTGGATACATACTCGGTCGTGGCATTGGCGCATACTAGACATTGTCCTCGTCCGGAGTTAAGACCAACGTGAGCGGAACCCAACTGCAAGTGGCGGAGAACTTCGTGTATATGGGCAGCACCCTCTCCTACGGCATCAAATCGACGGTGAAGTGGCCCGCCGCATTTGCAAGTTAGTCCTAAAAATGCAGCTTGGAATCGTTACGGGCTTCACATCAGCCCGGAATCTAGAGATACACAAGGCAGTCATCCTGTCGACGTTGATACATGGACCGGGGACCCGGACTGTGTACATGAAGCAGGTGCGTAGACTCAATCATCTCCATCTCAGCTGTCTTCTACAAGTATTGAATCTGAGGTGGCTGGACGAGATCCCAGACACGGACGTACCGCACCGGACGGGGATCCTCAGCATACCTGCAATGCGGCCAACTAGTACGGATGGACGACGACAGGCCACTCAAAAGACTCTTCTTTGGCATTAAAAGCACACAATGAACACACCTCTGAAGCGCCTGTAGATAAACCCGGAAAACTGGGAATACCCCGACCGGGACAGACCAACGTAGAAGAGAGGAGTGAAGACAGGCTCAACAATCGTCGGAGCCAATCACATCACCGCAGCCGCGAAGTCCAAACGCGGGACACGCAAAAATCGACTGTCGCCCGCGTCTCCGCCGCCGCCTCACAATGCCATCGCCAAATCATCACCAACATGTCCACAATGTGTCAACGAGCATTCTGGACGCCAATTGGACTTTTTGGACACCTCCGGTCCGACTGCGGCACACGGACTGCACCAACCCTCGTCTCTCCGCCCATCTCTCGCGCACCTCCCAAAAGGCCAACTAACCTGGATCGCCCCCACCCCGAGCCACCACAACCATCCTCTTCTTCTTCTTCCTCCTCCTCCTCAACATCGGCAATTGTGGCTTCTGACATGCCCATTAACCCAACAATCCTGACGCACTCACAAACACCAACACCACCTCCACCGCCAACACCGATTATAAGGACCCGGTGTATACACCACCTACTTGCGATCCTCCCTTCGCCTCACAAATCGGTCTGGTTGGTCATTTGCGAACCCATCGCACACAGGCTGGCGAACCAGTGCCTGGAGCACCGACCTACACCCTTCGCACCTGCCAACACTGCCCAAATTCCACTCACACATTTATTCACCGCAAGTGTCTATTCGGCCACAATCGCGTTCACGAAAAGCCGCGGCAGACAACTGCCAGCTGCACGACTCCATCTCATCCTCAATCATCAGCATCATCAGCGGTCTCTCCAGTTGAGTGTGTGTTTTGCGGTGTGGTTGACTGGTGGACTGAGAGACAGGTTGTCACGGCGCCTACTCGAGCGTTCTGTGACACTCTGAAGCATATGAGGAGATAGTGTGTGCTTCATTGGCGGTGGATGCCAGTCGACGTCTATTTGGCTACTCAACATTTAGGAGTGACCGGCCTGGCAAAATGAAGGACACGTGTCGCCTTCTATGTCAGCAGATCTGAAAGGTATTATCAACAAACCATGGCCCTCGCAGCCTGGTATTCGCTGACACCTGGTTCCCTGCCAGGGAACAGAGCCTTCTGCCGGAAAGACAGTGCGACTTCCGTCGTCATCGTGGGACCATGGACATGATCTTCGCGTCCGTCAACTTCAGGAGAAGTGCCAGAAGATTCCGACACATCTGTACTTTACGTTCGTGGACCTGATGAAAGCCTTGGATCCGGTGAATCGTGAAGGACTGTGGAAGATCATGCATAAATTCGGCTGTGCGGAGCGATTCATTCAGATGGTGCGTCAGCTGCACGACGGCATGATGGCGCGAGTCACGGACAACGGAGCTGTCTCAGAGGTATTCGTAGTGACCAAGGAAGTGAAGCAGGGTTGCGTGCTGGCGCCTACCCTCTTCAGTCTTATGTTCTCTGCCATGCTGATGGACACCTACTGTGATGAACGCCCAGCATTCGTCCGCATCGTCTACAGGACGGACGGTCACCTCCTGAATCAACGACGGATGCACTTCCAGTCGCGCGTATCCACAACCACCGTGCACGAACTCCTCTTTGCCGACGACTGCGCCCTGAACACCACCTCGGAGGAGGAGATGCCACGGAGCATCGACCTCTTCTCTGCCGCCTGCGAGAACTTCGGTCTGGTCATTACCACGCAGAAGACGGTGGTGATGCATCAGCCGCCACCCAACCCAGCCACAGCCCCCAACTCGCCACCGCAAATCAGCGTGAACGGGACCCAACTGCATGTGGTGAAGAACTTCCCGTATCTGGGCAGCATACTCTCCCGCAACACCAAGATCGGTAACGAAGTCGCCAACAGGATCTCGAATGCCAGTCAAGCCTTCGGCCGCCTCCAAAACACAGTATTGAATCGTCATGGTCTTCAACTGAGCACGAAGCTGAAGATGTACAAGGTCGTCATCCTGCCGACGTTGGTGTACGGAGCGGAGACTTGGACAGTGTACACAAAGCAGACACACCGACTGAACCACTTCCACCTCAGTTGTCTTCGTCGCATCCTGAGGCTGAACTGGCAGGATCGAATCCCCGACACTGAAGTACTGGAGCGGACGGGAATCTTGAGCATCTACACCATGCTGAGACAAATGCAGCTGCGCTGGAGCGGCCACCTGGTGTGCATGGACGACGAGCGTCTACCCAAACGACTCTTCTACGGAGACGTCGTCACGGGCTCTCGCCGTCAAGGAGGTCAAATTCGCCGATACAAGGATGCTCTGAAGTTCTCCTGAAACATCTGCAATTTAACCTGACCGACGGGGAAGAGCTCACCCTTTAACGACCGACCTGGAGGCTGTAGTGGACAGCCATAATGGCGACGCCGCGCCTCTCGCTAGCGCCTGCACCTACGCCCTAGCGACAATCAGCTACGCCACGCACGTCTGCCCAGCTTCGAATTGTCTCCTTGCAATTCACTGTCTGCTCCTCACATTCGGTCGATTCTCTGCCTGCACCATGCGAGGCTTGCACTACCTTCGCTTGGGCTCGGATACAATCAACAAAACTTCCTCTCGCTTATTGGGTAAGACGGGCAGGAACAGGCCAGAACACTAGCGTAAACAATCTGCAACGACACATTTGCAGCGGCGACATTCGGCGACACACGGCTGGTTGCTCTCGCGGACGCCACCTCCACGGCGCCGGAAGCATCCTCGTCCGGTTGCCAACTTTCCTCTTCAGTATTCTGTACAGAATAAAGTGTCCTGACGAAATGGCATCCTGCTTCTAGCAACTTGGGACATGGCCTGAAGTTGTGGCGTACTGAGCGTACACCATCATCGCTTAGCCGCTACAAGGACAACAGTGAAAACAGGCGCTGCGATCTGCGAAGCCAAGCGCATCGCCACCGCCAAAGCGAAGCGCAAAGCACGCAAATCACAGCTGTGTCTACTCCGCAACGACGAAGAACAACCGCTCTCTACGTGTCCTCGATTCCAACGGACATTCCGGGCACGAATTGGATTTATCGGACCCCATCGGATCATTTGCATCTCTTGGACCGCACCGACCATCGTCCCTCCGACCGCCTTTTCCCCGTCCTCTCCGCCGCCATTTAACTCTGACTCATCTTCCGAAACACCACTTCCACCCCCTTCTCGCCCTCCTCATCTTTTTCCTTCTCCTCCTCCTTCTCCTCCTCCTCCTCCTCCTCCTCCTCCTCCTCCTCCTCCTTCACTGCCCCAACCACGGCCGCTCAGGCTAATGTCACGCACGACAACACCAACACATTCCCCACACAACAATAGACACCACGCCTACATCCTCCGACATCAGAGGAGAGGACCAGATTTGCACCTGCTCCCACTGCGACCGCACCTTCAACTCACACATCGGCCTGGTCGGTTATTTGCAAATCCATCGCACAGAGGCTGGCGAACCAGTGCCTGGAGCACCGACCTACACCCGTCGTACCTGCCACCACTGTCCTCATTCAACTCACACATTCATACACCGTATGCGTCTATTTGGCCACAGTCGCGTTCACGAAAACCGGTGGTAGATAACCGCCGGCTGCACCACGCCATCTCATTCTCAATCACCAGAATCGCAGCGCACGTCAACATCACCCCCCCCCCTCATCTCACGCATCCAATGCGTCTCGCCAACTTCTCCATGCGGCTGCCCTGTTCTTGCTGCGTGTGTGGCTCGTGTCTGAGTCCATCAGGGCGTGTTAATCTCTGTGGCTCAGAAGGCTGCTGACTGACGCCCCAAATCAGTCCACACAGTCTGCCCAGTTGTGTGTGTGTGTGTTTTTCGGTGTAGCTGACCGATGGACTGACAGACAGGCTGTCACGGCGTCTTCTGGAGTGTGTAGTGTGGCGGACAAATGTGCTGTGAGCCAGGCTGAAATAGCTCCTTCTCAAGCGTTCTGGGACACTCTGAAGCATGCGAGGAGATAGTGTGCGCTTCATTGGTGGTGGCTGCCAGTCGACGTCTCCTTGGTTACTCAACATTTAGGAGTGACCGCCCAGGCCACCTGAAGGGACACGTGTCGCCCTTCTATGTCGACAGATCTATGGCAGTATCAACAAACTATGGCCCTCGCAGCCTGGTATACGCTGACACCTGGTTCCCTGCCAGTAGATGCGCTTGCGTTGCCTCTGAATGTACAGGCGTCGGGCATGGCTGGCCAGTCACCCTCGTACGTCCGACCCCTGTTGGGTTCCTGTTGTTGTTGTTGTTGTGGGTGAAGTTTATATTAACGACCAGATGGTGTTGTGACACGCCTAGTTGCGGGTCCGGCCTCCCGTCTTCCTGGCACTGTCTTGACAGCGGGTGCATGTGTTGGGAGTAGGAGAGAATGCGGTAGATACTGCGGATAGTCTACAATCACCATAAAAGAATTCACGCGCAAGTTACCGTGACTGCTGCATCTCCCTGTGTAGCACACTGTGGACATCGGCGGCTCCGACGGTTGAACCACATATATTTCTACGGCAGATCCATTTGTCATTCTTATAAATATATCTTAGGATATGTGCTCAGAAAAGTCTTCAATGAGTATGGCGGGCCCACATGAGTGATTTCAAGGGCCATGATGAAAACAGATGATCGAGCATTGCCCTGTTGGTGAATTCGTTGCAACCAGAGATACGATTAACTGGCTCTACACTATCTACGTGGGAAGGCCCTGCTTCATGCTGCGTGCAAGGTTGCGAGTCAGTTATCGGGGGTGCACCTCGAGTTGGTGGTCCCTAGATCGTGAGGCGCCTACGCGTCTGCTGAGGTAAAATAGATCACGCTCGACAAATGACGCAGCATGCATCGATCGCAGTCCGTGCACGTAGATTTCGCCAGATGGCCGAGCGCTGAATGCGAGTAGAGGTGCCCCCGGATGACCTAGGCGGCAGGTCGTCAGTGGCGTGCGCAGTCGTTGCGTGTTTACGTCACTGAACAATGGCAGCGTCCCTAAAACCGGCCGAGCATTAGATGCGCTGGATCACCACACGGACAACATCGGGGCTTGCCTGGCGTTAATTGGAAACGTGCGCTCAGGATATGTCAACATTGGGTCTGACTTTCAGACATACGTAGACTTTGTCCTTGCTAGATATCCACATCTCCATCAAAAATATCAGTTACCAATGCCAGAAATGACAGAGTCGGTTATAAAAACAAATGTCTGTTATTACTTAAAACACGGGAAGATCGCCGCCAGTCGCAATTTGAACAAATCTAATCGACAGATCATGAGACGAAGTGCGAATATTTGCAGGAGTGCAGACGTTATTATTAAGATTATGCGTGTGATATTAGGGGAATTTCAGCCTATGCATACTTCACCCTCTGTGC